TTTTGTAGGCTGATATGTCAGCACTGTTTACAACAAGACAGCAGCCAATACCTGATGATGAACAGGTACATTATTAAAGACCTCATCTGATTCCTTTGCTAATCCTTCCTTTTCCTTTCTTGTTCCTTACTACAATATCCATTTTTGCCTTGATTTTAACCCTCCTTTTTAAGAGATCATTTTAAATTATTAATTGCAAAACGATTCCTTTTCCTTTTTGTTGTTCTTCATTCCTACCTCTATTCATGCTTGCTATCATAACATTCACCTACTATCAGTACCATGTCTCTCATCTCCTTCACTGGCCACTTTTCCATCATGATTTTTCTTCCCTATCTTTTCCATCACATTTACCTTTTGGTTCTTTCATTCCTTTAATTATCTCTGTTCTCAATGTTATTTTTGTTTACCTTCAAGAAACAATTAGTCCAAGAGTGGAATGAAGATTTGGATGGCATGGAGTGCTTTGTACTTGAGGGAAAGAAATTTGTCAGACTACCAGAAGATGAAATTGGTATGTTGCTTTTCAGTGTAAATCTAGTTCTTGAGCTACATTGTGGTCTTAATAAGATTCTGTTTATCCATTATTTATTGTTATCTGGTATAATTGCAGTTATTAGGTTTATTCATCCTCAACCTTTTTACGATCTGTTTTCCAGGTCATTTCTACAGTTGTGATTGCTATGTGTTTCTGTGTCGTTACTGGGTCCCTGTGGAAGCTCCTGAAGATGCAGATGAAGAAAGTGATGAACCAGTTGAACAGGAAGAGGATTTCCAGTGTGTTGTCTACTTCTGGCAGGTGAACAACTCACACTTGGAGTATGAATATCGCTTCCAAGCTCCTTACGACCAATATAGAATAAAAGAGCGTATTGAGAAATACTTGTCTAACTGTCCGAATTTTGCATTGATCAGATCAATATTAACAATTTACAGCCTTTCAAAAACGCTAGAATTTTCGTCCAGATTTTTCTGAATTCACATTATTACATTTCTTTGTAAAATCTATAATTTTTAAAAAGCTGCAAATCGTTTACACTTGAATCAATTAACACCAAACTTTGCGAGTTTCTTATTTACAGTGCAATTATCTTTCGTTCTTACCTCACCATTGTGCGAATCAAGGGACTTGTACCCAGTCTTCCACAGTATATGAAATGGTGCAATGGGAAAATAATTATATGTAGTGGATAACTTACTGTTTATACAACCAGAGCCTGAAAACAAAGGGTCATTATTACATTATAATGCACTGCAGCATAGATTCTTTCATCTATAAAATTTGAGTTGACAGAAATGCAATAGTCGGCCTCATAAACATCTATGAAAACAGGAAACATTTTTGTAATAATAACAATCATGGTCTTGTTGTAGGGAAGAGATGCCAATCAGATGGGATGGCTAACATTCACTTTCAGGTCAGCAATATATATCATTTTGTATACAGCTATTTCAAAAAACGTTGTCGGGGAGAACGGCGAACAGCAATTGTCGAAGGGAGATTGCACGACCGAAAGGGACTATGGTTACACTGTTTTGATAAACAAAATTTCACTTATTGGATTCACCTTGCATAGAAATGGAAACTAAATGGAGCCAATGATTACCACAGACCATCTTACAGTACAAATCAGTTGTTATTTCCTTTCAACTAGCAAAACCCATGGCTACTTTCGGTCGTGCAATCGCCGGTCGACAATTGACATTCGCCATTTTATCATACAACCTTTTTTGAAACAGCTATATTATCTTATTGTGTCTTGTTCAGTTTTGTCAGTGAGATGATTTGCTTATCTTGTCAAGTTTAATGAAAAATACATGTACACAAAATGCTTCCTTCTTTGACATTCAGCCTTCAGAAAAAGTTTGAGACCCTGTTTGGAGAGAAGTTGGAAGTTGTGAAAACACAGCAGGTTAGAGAAAAGCTGTTTTTATCTTCTTGTCAATATTTTCCTTTTAGCTTCAAAAGCGCTCAATAACTTCCATTTGCAGGTTCTGGAGTGTAGTGAGTTTTTGTACAAAATTTAGATTAAATGTAGTTATTTGAAATGACAAGTAAATGTTGACAATTTGTTAGTTTATTTTATTTTTTGTTATCTTATGTAGCAACAAGAAAACCCCAAGTTTATGGCACATTTTAAAGGCAAATTTATTATTCACACGGTAGGTTTAAAGTCATATGTGTCCTGAGTATCCTGGTTGGTAATATTACATAGTTTGTGTTATTAAAGATCGATTATGCTCATCACAACATTTAATCACCTACAACAAGAGAGTGAGTTTGAGTTTGTTTGTTTGAGAGTGAGTTTGAGTTTGTTTGATGTGTTGTTCTCTCCCTTGCCACGAGGGTTTTTCTCTGGGTCCTCCGGTTTTCCTCCCTCAGCAAAAATCAACATGTGAGGAGTGTTGTGTGCTAAAATACTTGATGTAGAGGTAGTGAGTGTGAGAGGAGGGCTACGAGTTTATCAGTCTTTGACTGTAATGTGCTACCCTCGTAAAATAAAGTTATTTATTTATTTATTTAAGATGGCTTCAACTTTCATAAGGATTCAAAACAGTTGTCAAATAGACCAAATGACAGTTCCTGCTCCTGACACTTAATGTATTTTTTTTGTAATAACATCATTGTTTGTTATAGGGAAAACGCAAAGATGTTCACCCAKCAGACTACAAGCCTAAGCCAGAATTATATCACATTAGATCAAATGGAGGAATCTTAGCTAAACGAGTTATACAGGTAATACATTTTAAAATGTTTCAAAATTTATGTTTGTTTACTAAATGTAAATCATCCCATTTTTTAGATCAAGACAGATGCAACTTTATTAAACTCTGAATTTTGGTAAGTGTTTTCATTGAATTCTTATCTGTTGTTTGTTATGATATTTATAATATTGCTGTTTTTGTTAACTTTATAATTAAATTAATTGATAAGTTGATTTGAAATTAAATTATTCAATTGTTCATTAATAATGAATATTTTTCATTGCTATTTTGTATTCTATATACAATTGATCAAGCTTGTTAGTCTGTGTGTTGCTGTCAATGCTATTATTTTTGTTAAGAAGTTTCTATTTTTCATAGATAAACATGTAAACTTATAGTTTTGCCATTTTCTCACAAAAACTTGTAAGTTTTTATGTTGAAATCATAAGAGAGCTAGATACAGACCAAAATCTTGAGATATTCCCTTATTATCAGAAAGAGTTGCAGACAGCTCTAGCCTACCACTGTACTTCAATTCAGAATTAATATTGTTTTAAAAACATGTTTTTTCTTGGTCACTGGCCGCAGTTCTTGTTTGTATCTTGTAATAACAAATTGTTTTCTTTAGTTACATCCTCAAAGTTCCCTTTGAAAACTATGCAGAAGATGGGATAATTTATGTTTGGATTGGAGAGTAAGTGTTTTTTCACCAGTGCTGCCTTCTTGTGTTATTGTTGTATATGTCTACTGAGGATGATTTATGTTCTATTTTTACCAGAAAGGTGAAGGAACCAGATGCCGAGCATGCAAAGGAGCTTGGACAAGAGATATGGGATGTAAGAACAATGATTGTAATATGGATGTTGACTCTTGAAATTGCTTATAAAATGCACTTTTTGACTGCTTAAAATTAAGCCCTTGAAAATGGGAAAAATCACTAAAACTCCTGGAAAAGTACTTGAATCTGATCAAATTAACATAATTGCTCTTTGCTGTTTGGATTGAAATATGGCTATTTTTGAAAATCACCAGTGGAAACATTCACAAACACCAGAAAGTGTCTTTAAAAATAGTCCTTGAAAATTGTAATTTTTTTTTGCTTAAAAAGTACTTGAAAAGTCCTGGAATTTTGTAGTGAAAATGTTGCACAAATCCTGAAACAATAATTTTTTGAACTTTGCTAATCTTCAGACTGAGTGTATTTAGTTGTACTAAGTAAAACAGGATTCATGTCCAATAATATTGATAGATATGTTGATCAAGGTTATATTGTTCTAGAGTGGTTATACAATCCAAGTCATCAATGAGGGTGAAGAACCTGAAAACTTTTTCTGGGTGGCTCTGGGTGGACGAAAACCATATGATAAGGTAAACAGGTTTTCAACAACAGGTCTTTAAAAGCATGACAAGAAATGACGTTTTTAGTGATACGGATTCTGCACTTCAGCATATGTACAATCATGTAATTTACATTACCTGATTTAAATCATTCAATAAAATTGAAATATGTTAGTTCTCTATATAGTTAAAAAGTAGACCAGTCGTAAAGCAAGCTGCAGCTGCATATTTAACAATAAAACTGCAAACAAGAAACTAGTCAGATAAACTGTACAATTAGTAATTTTTGCCAGTGGCTACAGTGAGAAACCTGGTTACTACTTGGTCTTTACATGTATTTCAACAACAATGAAATGTAAAATGTGTTGCAAAATGTTTGGCATAATTATATTGTTTACAAGTTTAGGGACTAATTTAATACAACATTGCGTTAATAGGATGCTGAATACATGCAGTATTGTCGTCTGTTCAGATGTTCCAATGAYAAAGGTTATTTCTCTGTTTCTGAGAAGTGTACAGATTTCTGTCAGGTATGAATGAACTGGTTCTTCTTCAAAAGCAAATACAATGCAATAAATACCATACAAGTGCCAGAATTAGCATTCTTTTCATTGAAAATAATTTTTTTTCCTAAATTGTGTTCTGTATTTTCTCACAAACACCAGGTCTAAAATAGCTTTTAGTGATGTGGTAGTAGCTCCAACTGTTCTTGAGCTAGCATGCAAAATTATTCTTGAATCAGATTTCACAGGTGGATTTTTTTGGTTTGTTTTTGGGTGCATTTACTAGGTTGACATATCTACCCTGGATACAAAGGGTAGATATTTACAGTACCTAGTTTTCTCATAGTTTTTTAACATCACTTGATGCCATAGTTGACTATAAGAATGGGGAAATTTCTGATCTTTTAGTACCCAGGGTGTGACATACCTCATTACTTGCACTGATTGGTAAAATAACAAACATACAGGCCCGTTAACACTTGTGATTTTTGACAGTTCATTTAGAAATAGGTTAGACTAGATGTGGGATTAAACAATTCATGAATTCATTATGATTGGTTCATGATGATTGCCAAATTAAATTCAATACGAAAAGTTTCTTTTGGGGAATGTGTGGTCACAGAAGTCTATTGTTCATATTGAAATTGTCTATTGTTTTTATATTGTTTACATTGTATCTATGTATCCGTTGATGTGATAGGAGGACCTTGCTAGTGATGATGTTATGATACTAGACACAGGAAGACTGGTAAGAACCATTCATGGATGATTCTCATCATCATTACACATCTCATTATTACATGATTTATTGGTAGGTTTATGTATGTATAATATTATTTATTGGTAGGTTT